ATTCAGGGGGTACACATTCCCCGTAGTCTTTTTGTAAGGGGCAAAAAAATCTTCGATTCAAATTCACGCCTTTTCGGACGCAAGCCAAGTGGCCTATGCAGCGGTTGTTTACCTTAGAATTTTGCATGACTCCGGGGAGCTTGATATAAAATTTCTTGCTTCCAAAGCCAAAGTTTCTCCTTTGAAGAAACAAAGTATACCCCGACTTGAACTAATTGGTGCGGCCTTAATGGCCAAATTAGTAGCTACGATTAACTCCACCTTAAAGGATGAATTAGGTTATGATAAGCCTATAGAGACTTATTATTGGGTAGATTCCATGGCGACATTATGTTGGATCGTCAACAATCACCATTGGAAACAGTTTGTGCGTCTAAGGGTGGAGCAGATTTTGCAATTTTCCTCGCGGGAGGATTGGTACTTTTGTCCAGGGGCAATAAATCCAGCAGATTTGCCATCAATGGGAAAATATGGTCATGCATATAAGAACAACCCATTGTGGTGGGAGGGTCCGACATTTTTAAAATTACCCCCCATCGATTGGCCTAAAGTTGAAAATGTGAATGATTTACAGGAAAGTGCAGCATACGCAGAAGAAATATCAAATCCCGTTAAGGTCACGCATGCTATGGCAAACGTAAATGAGGAAACAAGGTCCATTACAAACAATGTAGAAGTGAAACAGTTTAGTAGTAAGAATAAAGCATTAAGGGTTTTTTCATGGGTATTGCGATTTATCAACAATTTAAAGATTATCATTAGCAAATCAGGTGGTAAACAAATGGACAAAGAGGTAAGCGCAGACGAAATGGAATGTGCAGAAATGTTGCTAATAAGAGACATTCAACAAGAGGTCTTTAAGGAAGAACTAAAATTCTTGTTGTGCAAGTCAAATAAGAATAGTAAAGCGATACCATCAAACGTAAATCAACTTAATCTTTTCATAGATGAGCATGATATTCTTAGGTGTAGATCACGTCTACGTAACGCGTCAATTATAGAGTCTGGTAAATGCCCTATATTATTACCAGCGCACAATTTATACTCGGAACTCATTGTGCGGGAAGCACATAATTTAGTTTTCCATAATGAAATTGGAGAAACGTTGAGCTGTTTAGGCCAAAAGTACTGGGTGCTTCGGGGAAGAGAGCTGGTCAAGAAACAAATTCGCAAATGTATCATTTGTAAGAAACTCGAAGGTCTACCATTTATATTTAATGTTACCCCAGATCTACCTTTAGAAAGAGTTTCTGATTGTGCCCCTTTTACAAATACAGGTGTAGATTTTGCTGGACCGTTGATAACTAAAGGTTTAACAGGCCAAAATACTATCAAGTCATATATTTGTCTCTTTACTTGCGGCACAACTCAAGCAGTTCATTTGGAAGTTGTAGAATCTTTGGATACTCAGTCGTTTATTAGAGCTTTTAGACGGTTCACAGCAAGGAGAGGGCTACCGGAAACAATGATTTCTGACAATGCTAAAACATTTAAAGCCATGTCCAAGGAAGTAAGAAAGGTGTTGCTTTGTCCTAAATTAAGCCGTTTTCTTGCATCAAAGGGTGTCAGATGGAAATTTATTCCTGAAAGAAGTCCATGGGAAGGAGGCATGTGGGAACGCTTAGTCCGCAGTGTGATACGATGCCTTTTAAAAATCGTAGGCAGAGCTATGTTAAGTCATGTTGAATTATGCACCATACTTGTTGAGATAGAAGGGGCTATCAATTCGATCTCTTTTCCTTTAACGCCTTCACATATGATTAATGGAAGAAATTTGTTTCAGAGACCAAGTGATAGGTTTGGAGAAATAAGCAGCACTTACGAAACACTCTCTAAACGTGCCAAGTATCATTTTGGATTGTTGTGGCAGTTCAGTAAAAGGTGGAAGCCAGATCATCTATCTGGCCTAATGGAGGCTTTTTAGTCGCAACAACATACTAATTTACCTTCTCTGTCTGTAGGAGACGTCGTCGTTTTGAGAAACGAAGGCACAAAACGCTCATTTTGGAAGCTTTGCAGAATAGAAGAACTTTTGAAAGGACGAGATGGCAATGTAAGAACAGCAAAGGTAAAGGTGCCAACAGACAAGGGTAACAAAATTTTCATTAGACCTTTGAGTCATCTTTTTCCGATCGAGATAAAATCAAAACAGTCGACCAATACTAAGGCTGACACCCCATTTGCTTCCACACCAGCGCATAAGGGCAGTTATGGCAGCGCAACCGCAGCAGCTAGTGGTCCTTTGGCAAGTAGGCCCAGACGCAATGCGGCTATAGTGGGTGAATTGCTTCGTCAAAATATGTTGTAATCATATATTTACTCGTATATTATAATATGTTGCTTGTGTTTGTTATTCTAATAATTGTTATGTTTTTATTGATCAACAAGTGATCAATCCGGGGAGTGTTGAAGAGATTACGTCATATTCTGGGCGTAGTCAGGTGACATTGTATTTGCTATGTATTAGCCACGTTATGTTCACAGAATCAGATGTGTTGTAAAGCAGGCAGAGATGCAAAAAAGCAATTGTTTGCATTTTTTGAATTATTTATAAAAACATAACAAAACGAACAGCAATTTATTTAGCCATAAAAACTACAACCTAATCTCTATATCAATCACAGTGTCGAATTATCTGCAACATGCTGTTTTTATAAGCTGCATAACACGTGACTGCAGATCCGGGGGTACATTCCAACACACTCCCCCGGTTTGATTCTGAAGGAATTAAACTAATTTGATAATACATTTAAATTCAAATACAATTGTTATACCATTGAGACTACAAGTGTCCATATACCAATTTCTGAACAAGTCAGGATCTGTATTTACGTATTAATTCACCAATAACCGCTGCGTTCCGTCTAGCTCTAGCGGACTGTTGATTGTGAGCATGCGTTGTGATATTCTGCGCTTGCGCGTTAGTGCTTGGTGCTTGCGTCACAGTGGGACTAGCTTCAATTGATGAATGCTTATCAGGCGTAGACGTAGCTCTTATTTCTAGAGGAACTAACTGCTTCAAAGATCTTAAAAACAACTTCTTACTGCCATGCAATAAAACTGAAACTTGTGCTGATCTGACTGAGCCATCTCTACCTGTAACTAACTGTTCAACCTTACAAAGTTTCCAAAAGGCTCTCTTGACTTGAGAATTGCGTAATATACATATGTCATTGACCTTGATATCAGGATTAAACATAGAATCATCTGAGGGCCTATATTTTTCCATCAAACTAAGCAAATATTCATTTTTCCATCGATTGCAAAATTGCGATAATAATTGTCTGTGATATTTAGCCCGTCTTGATAAACCTTGGTAGGTATTTATGATCTCAAAATGTGCATCATTCGGAGAGCTGTTCAAGTTTCTGCCATTTACTAACTGAGACGCTGTAAGAGGGTATGATATTCCTTCACTATCATCTACAACATATGTAATAGGACGAGAATTTATTACATTTTCAATTTCGATAATCAAGGTTGTTAACTCGTCGTATGAGACTAATGCTCGCCCAACAACTTTGATCAAACAGCGCTTGACAGACCGAATCATTCTCTCCCAAAACCCGCCCTGAAATGGTGAAAGTTCAGGGATAAATCTCCATTTAATGCCCTTTAGATTAAAATGTTCGGAAAGTCTTGAGAGCGTAACAATTTCTTAATTTCAATAGAAACCGACCTAAATGTTTTAGCATTGTCCGTTATTATTGTGGCCGGTAATCCTCGATGCGCACAAAAACGTCGAAATGCCCGTATGAAATTTTCTACTGATAAAGACTCGACCATTTCTAGGTGAACTCTATACCTACGTGAGAAAATGGGGGTGCTTCGTCTACACGCATCCTTGGTAGATCTGGGTTATAAACTGTCTTGAACGGTAACCCCTCAATTTTCTTACAAACAATACAATGACGAAGACTTCGCTTTACTTGCTCTCTCCCCCGGAGTATCCAATACCGTTGCCTTATCAAACTCAAGGTATCAACAGTGCCATTATGAAATAACTTTTCGTGTGAATCTGAAATTATCAATTCGGTGTACCTATGTTTGGCCGGCAAAAGTAGCGGCCGTTTACCCGTGTCCGGAACTATGGAATGCCCGATGCGTGACCTACAACGAACTATATTATGTTCATCCAGATGTAAATTGAACTGTTTAACATAAAGAGGAGTTTCATCGTCTTTCTAATCGATTCCTTTTTAGATAAATAATGAAGATCATTAGCAAAGGCTTCTTTTTGGATGGATTGAATCAACATTGTCTCGGCTCTTACTACTTCAGAGACTGTCAAATTTTGTTCAAAGTTCAAATTCGATTTTTTAACGGACGCCTTGCAATTGGAAACAAATCTTAACACCCAACCAACACATCTTAATAACTTATCCTTTTGACTAAACCGTTCCATTTCTACAATTTTATCAACACTCGTTGTCGGCTTATTACTTGTGATTACCATACTGTGCGTTATTTGTGGATCAGATTTTACTCTTTCCTTCATTGCAATTTCTGTTTCAAGGTCATTCGCACATGGAGATTTAGGCCATTCATAGGGTTGTGAGTTGAGGAATTCAGGACCTTCCCACCACAAAGAGTTTGACTCAATATCACGATACTTACCACGAGAAGGCAAATCAGCGGGGTTGAGGGGACCTGGGCAATAAAACCATTGTTCTCTATTTGAGTGTTGTAAAATTTCATTAACTCTACTACGCACGTACTGGACCCATGGTTTACAATTATTTACCCAGCACAAAACAGCCATTGAATCCACCCAATAGTATTTTTCAATAATTTGCCCCTTAAATTCTTCTTGCATAACCCCGTAAATAGTTTCGACTAGCTTGACCATTAATCCTGCCCCTAGAAGCTCTAACCGAGGAATACTCTGCTGTTTAATGGGCGCTACCTTCGACCTAGACGATAATAACCTGGTACTTATTTTGCCTGATTCGTATTCTACACGCAAATATATTGAAGTAGCGAAAGCAAATTCACTCGCATCAGAGAAACCATGCAACTCCATGCGCAGGATCTTCTCCCCTGTTAGAAAAGGATAACGTGGAACTTCTCAATTCCCTTCTCAACGAAGGGAAATTTTCAATCGCCTCGATTAAGGAAACATATTTTTTCCTGTTTTCTTCGTCCAGTTCATCGTCCCAAGCTAATTTCTTTAAACAAAGTTGCTGAAAAAATGCCTTATAATTTATTGTCAAAACTGCTAAATACCCCATCGGGTCAAAGATTTTGGCTGCAATCTTCAGGACAGAACGCTTGGTTATAGGGAGGGTTTTTGCAAATTCTACAACCCCTGACAATTCAACCTGTAGTGTATCTGCGCTGTTATCCCACCCTATACCTAAAACCCTAAGTTGATCGTCCGTTTTTACCGCCCCATTAACGTATTTGGAATATGTTTGGTCATCTTCAACTACTTTATCATTACCACATAAAACCTTACTATTTTCGAGTTTGCTTATTTCCTGTGAAACATTATTATCATTACTGTTCCACTTTCGCAGATTAAAACCCCCTGAAGCCATGATTTCCTTAGCTTGTTTGTATATCATCAATGCTTCCTCCGTAGAAGTGGCACCACATAGAAAATCGTCACAATAGAGATTTCTTAAATGTTTAACAGTTTGAGGATACTGAGACTCAAATTGTGACACGTGTAGTTTGATGGTCTCGCCTAAAACTGAAGGGCTGCATGTCAAACCAAAAACCAACCTACAATACCGGTATTGAACTATGGAGGGGTTTTCACTCTCTATGTCATCGAACCATTGGAACCTCAAAACGTTGCGATCGGACTCTTTAATTTGCACTTGGAGAAAAGCTTTCTCAATATCTGCCGTGAGCACCACAGGGTGCATCATAAAACGGATAATTGTATTAAATAAAAGCGGCATGTGGTTGACACCCGAATCTAATCGATCATTAAGCGATAATGAAGTGCTAAACCTTGCGGAACCATCGAACACTATGCACAATTTAGTAGTCTGCCTTTCATTTCTAACCACCCCGAAGTGACATAAAAAATGGGCGTTACTGTCTTCATAGGCACACTCGTTTACTTTCTCAATAATACCATCGGACAATTGTTGTTCAAATACCTCGTTGTACTGTTTAAGTAACTTAGGATCGGCCTTCAATTTGTTATAAAGTGACAAAAGTCGCCTTTTACTCAGATCGTAATTCGTTTCTAATTCTTTATCAATATTATCCTTCCAAGGAAGGCCTACTTCATAACGCTGATTTTCCTTAAACATAATTTCTGTCGGTGCACACTTTCCCGGTTGTTCATCATTAGCAATTCCCATAGACTCATGTTTCCAAAAACGATCTAGCGACTCTACTATTTCACGAGATTCATCTACTATTTCTTCCCTGCTAGGTATAATATCTAAAACCAAATTAGATTTGATAACGTTATTACTACTGCATACTTTAAATGCTTTATCATTTGAAAAGGATACAGGGCCTGAAAGCAGCCAACCAAGCTTGCTACTAATCGCCACTGGTCCTGCGCTACCCTTAATAACCTCGCCTATTACAATGTCGTAATAGTGATCTGCGCCTATGAGAATATCTATACGCTTGTTGCTCACATCCACGCTGTCAGCTAGAGCTAAACCATTCAAATGAGGGTAATGACTTACATCTACTCTAGTGTTTAAGGGGGAACAGACTGCAGGGGATGTTAATGCTGAAACAGTTACAACCTCGTCTTGTACTACTATATTAACCTTAACCCTATCGCTGGATTTCTTAATGTATCTCTCAGAACCAAATGTATTAAGGTTAAGAATTTCCGTAATCTCAGATTTCAACTCTAATTTACGTTTAAGCTCTTCAGAAATGAACGATTTCTGACTACCATTATCGAATAATGTTACCTTCTTGCTTCTATCTTCACCATAGGCAATTGCGGTAGCAGTCTGGAGCATAACATTCGTCTTTTCTTTGACATTTGACATCGCCACAGATGAATCTTGTCTGAGCTCTTGTTCATCCTTGTTGCAAAGGGCTGAGTTATGATTGCCATTGCAATTAAAGCATTTTCGGTTGAAACTGCAGTCCTTTGATACATGTCCAACTCGCAAACACTTGAAGCATCGTTTCGCCGCTTGCAAAATCGCCTTGCGTTGTCTGAGGTCTGTCACCTCCTTGCACTCGTTTGAAAAATGGCCTTTACCACAGAAGTAACATCGAATTGACTTCTTATTCTTCGAGGGACTCTCTAACCTGGCCACAAAGGATTTGGTAGTGCTTATTGGTGGTGAACCATGATCGTGTCATATATTACGCGGAGGTCTGTGATCTTTTCATTTTCGCATGATTGCAACTTTAACAATGCTTGCATGTGAGCACTGATTATGCCTTGTTTCTTTCCAAATCTTTCTTTCAGAAGAACTTTGGCCTTTTCATAGTTCTCTTCACAGATTTGTAACCCTTCCAGTGCCTTATAAGCCTGACCTTCCAGCGAGTTGACTAAATAATTCAATTTGTGTACTTCCGAAAGTTCTTCACTTTCGTCGACTGCACAACAAAAACTCTGCCAAAATTGTTGGAATTTTGTGATGTCTCCGTTGAATCGCGGTAAGGTGATTTTTGGTAATCTAACACCTTGGCTTCTACCATTGCTTGTTGAACGTTGCGAAACGGGAGATTCGCTAACTTGTTGAGTCGGTTGTCGAGGTGACGTAGAAATTGTTGGCAGAGGGTGTACTGCGATATCAGGAGATTGCGATGTTGTTCTTCTCTTCACTGAATTTCCATGCGTATTGAGGTATTTCCTTACTTTTGCAATACTTTCGTTGATTCGTGTACAAATGTCCGTTGATTGGTCTACATCACGATCTATTTCGTCCAAACTGCATTTTTGAATTATTTCGTTGTCTACTTGCGTAAGGTAGTCTCTCTTTTCCTTGATCGATTGTACCTTATTTCAAGTTTATTCCTAATTTCGGGGTCGATTTCCTCTGTTCTTGGGTAACGTTCAATAATTTCTTCGGCTTCGTTGATTAACTTTGTTGTTTTGGCTCGATTTCCACCTCGTATCCTTTTTAGGCGTTGTAGGCTTTCATCTTCGCTCGGTTCGGATTGCTGCTCGTCTCCACTGTACATCTCTGTATCTATCGTTGATTCGACCTAATTTGCCTCTCTAGCCCCACGTTGGGCGCCAATGTGTTTTAAAGTAGGCAGAGATGCAAAAAGGCAATTGTTTGCATTTTGTTAATTATTTATAAAAACATAACAAAACGAACAGCAATTTATTTAGCCATAAAAATTACAACCTAATCTCTATATCAATCACAGTGTCCAGCCTCGAATTATCTGCAACACGCTGTTTTTATAAGCTGCATAACACGTGACTGCAGATCCGGGGGTACATTCCAACAAGAGTGTAGTTGTGATTCAGCGGTAGCTGACATATAATTCAGTAGAGAATAATTATGCTAAAATATATACGCTAAAGCTGCAAAACAGACGTTTTTCTTTTGCACTTCTGATCCACAATGCAAACTACTCAACAATGGTAATGACTCGATAGCACTGGGGCTCGCTTTATGGAAAAAAGGGACCCCTTGTCCCTCTGTGTGGGGTCCATATCACCGTTTTTAATACATAAAAATATCCCAAATATTCAATTTTGCAGTTATTTCTTTAAACCATTTAAACAAATGTAAACTAATTCAATATTTTATACAAAAGCGCAAAAGGTTTCGGAAACTCAAAAAGCAGGGGGTTGGAAATTCAAGAAATATTAACAAGCAGGGAAATGATATTCGGTGGGATAAAGTGATCAATTAAATCACGGACTCAAACTTTTAAAAAATCTGTTTCTGTAGAACAGAAATAGTGGTCTTTGACCTGGTCAGCCTTGGTCAAAGATCAAAAAGTTAATCTTGGATCATGTTTGTTGTTAAATGTAAATATTGAAATTTGTGTTCCTCGTTCTTCACAGGTAAGCAGCGTAAACGGAAGCTCTGCACAGATGGAGTTGCATCAACAAGGTTTTGAATCTCTCAGAAGTTCTGGAATTTAAGTATCTACGTTTGTCTCTGACAGACACCAAGACTGTATGCCATTGCACAGAGATACCTATTGAACAAAAACATTGTATGACTTAATATAATGATTGACTTGAGTTTCTCTTACATTCTTTAGAATCGGCAGGATCATAACATTGCATATATATATTATATGTATATGGTATACTCATTTTTGCCATATTTAATGAAAATAAAATATTAAATTTACTAATTCCAAGAATTTAAGGTGCCAAACAGAATTTGCATTTCTAGACAGATTAACTTCTTCTTCATTCGCCCATACAATGCAATAGGTTAGGCCGCTATGATCAGGGAATGGTGGCCTAAAAACAGCAGAGATGTACAGGGAATACTGAATTTATAACACTAAAAAACATAATGACAATTTATTTCACTCACCATTGACTCAAAGTATTGTTGTAAACCATCTTCGTCCTTGCCCCGTCCTGAAAGTTTCGAGCCATGCCAGCTTCGCCTGGTTCCGCGTCTGAATTATCCGCAGAAAAAAGACTGGTTCGTTCTTTAAAGGCAAAAATAGCCCATCAGCAGCACCTAAAAACTATTCCCCTTCACTTTCGTCAAAAGCTGACGCCCTTGAGCTTGAATATTTGCCGTGAGACATGTTCAGAAACTCGGCAGTAAAACTCCACTGTATAATTTCTTGTTAGTTAGCAATCTAAATTTTCACTAAGGCCTGATTTACACAAGATGAATTTTTCGCACGAAGCGAATTTTTCGCCACGAATATTTCTCCTGTGAATTCGCTGCGAATTCGAAGTTTAATTTCCACTGGCAGAATTTCTTTTGCGAATTCGCCGCAAATAATGCCAAAGAAAATGGCGTCTGTTCGAAGATTGTTGTTATTGAAAAAAAGCGAGCAAAAAAGCAAATAAATGGGTACTTGGTTCGGAAAATTTATTCAGAACGTCTGCAGAAGGGGGAGTTTCATCTTTTGGTAAGTGACTTACGCTTACATTGTCAGGAATAATTACTTTCGAATGTCGCCAACTACATATGAGGAGCTTTTATCGTTTATTGCACCAAAGACGCCTGTTGCTAGAAACGTCCCATTCCATTGTTTATGTTATAGGTGCGGGATTTTCCCAGCATTGTTTAGGCCTAGTCATAGGTTACTCATTCTTCACCTATGTTGTTGTTTGAACCATTGCGTAGTTTTCTGTCGTTTTGCATACTTTTGATTTAGATATGTTTACATTGCCTAGCACCATTCGGCCTAGCCCTTTCTTTGGGTTCGTGTCAGATGTCTTCAATTGCTGTTCTGATTGGTTTATTTTACATGGTGAAAAAAATCGCAGCGAAAAAGTAGGAATGGTTTCTACTTTTTCACAGCGAATTATTCGCTGCGAATTCGCTGCGAATTTTCTAATCTCCACTTCTGCGCATATTTTTCGCGCATTCGCGGCGAAAAATTCGCTTCGCACGAAAAAATTTGTCTCGTGTAAATCAGGCTTAACACAACCACTTTACGTCACTTCCTGTCAAACTTTACCCAATCCCTTGTGACAGAATTTGAAGCAAAAAGTCGACCTTGAAACAGCTGTAATAACGAAAGTGTTTGTTTTTCGAAAATTTTATGGTCATTTTCGTGATCAGCATACTCGATTACGTCTTGGAGGTGAATAAAAATTTTCGTGTCATATGCACTAAGACATTATTTAGGTCATGAAGAGCAAATGGGGGGCTCAGGTATATTTATGGTAGAATTACTCTCTTGGATCTAGCAATCAAGTGATCGTTGCCTGGAGACTTTTTGAAGATAAGATACAGGAGAATGTTAGAGGAAATTGATATACAGATAGCATTGAAAGCTGATAGATTTATGAAATGAACAGATTAAATAAAGTCGAGTTAGAAAAATATATACTGTCATAAACCAAGTTGAAACAAAATTTCCCTGTAAATATGATAGAATACGGTAAACAAGAGTGGCTATGGAAGCAAGGAAAGTATTGTACAAAATAAGGCAATGTATTTCATGAAAATTAAGAAAATGTTTTACAAAATTTGTCACACTGGTTGAAAGCTATCTTTTGCAGCTTGGAATTGTGTTCTTAAAAAATGAATTTTACTCTCTTTCATTTTATATATTATGTTAAAAATTTTGTTGATGTTCCAAGAACTTACTTGCGTAAAATAGCAAAGCGAATATCTCAACACTTCAATTAACGCTTTGTGGTGGTATCACAATAACCTCAAAGCAAACAACATTGATTCACGTTTGCGAAACCCAAACCAGCCAAAAACATGGCTAATAAAACGCAACCTGGCATGTCACCCTGTTCCTCAGCCAGATGCGTATAATATTTTCTGATGTCAGCCAGATGCGTACCAGGCCTTTCTTTTGCCATAAATATTAAAACAACGTTTCTGTTCATGCACGAAGCAATACCAACGAGAGTTGCCGCAAACCAAAAAGCCTATGCCAGTTCCCTATCCATCAGTTTCCCTGAATTTCTATTGGCTATTTTGTCTTGACCGGTACTCAGATGACATTGAGCACCGCTGAAAAAGCAAATGATTGGATAATGCTGGATCTGAGCATCGGTGAGAAAAGAGTTGATTGGCTAGCTCCGTTCGTGACAATTCTAATTTACGAACCCACCGGTGCTCGGAATAGCATGGAATAATTGGATTTCATTGGAGGATGATTTTGTCACCCGCAATCTAATTGGTCAGCACTTTCATTCTACCAGAATTTCGTTCTGATGAATATGCCACGATTGTAAATATTAAGGCAACAGAAGAAAATTCTTTAGATTAAGGGATATTTTTCATGCAAAAAAGACGAAAACATCGAATCAGTAGAAATCTTTAGCTTTTTCGGAAACACCCACAGAAACAGGTACAAGAAAGAGTACTTTAAGAATCTGACCGATGCTCAAGCACCCTTTCCACCCCCCTGGATCCGCCACTGCTAAGATTCTTAATATTTAGACTATAGTACTAAACGCTTCTATAAAGCTTATTAAATGCACGTTTTTCTATAAGAAACTAGAACTAGGACGGATAAAAGATAAAAACTCTAATAGTATGTTCAGCAAAAATTAAGAAACTTTAAATGCTAAGGCCTACGATTTCCGAAGAGGTAACATTTTGAACCATGCCCATTTTGATACCTCAATTGATATCTCATCTAAGGCAAGTGATGCTACAAAAGGTCGATCGATTACACTGTTGACAAGTAATTGTAGCCTTCATTTTCTGCATTTTATCTTGTTTTCTTCATTGGGAAATACTGTACATTTGAAAACAATTTTTTTTGGAAGAAACCGATGGAAAGTTCGGCTAATCTTTACGGAATTGAAATTAGATTAACAATTCGCAAGCAGTTTTGATTTTTGTCATATATTGTTTGTTTGCTTTTTAGTATTGGCTAATATTGTATCAAGTATGTTCAAGGGAACATAGAGGTTATAGAGGCCCCTGGGTTCAAAAGGAGAATGCAAATCTATTCTTCCAAGCGAAAGCAAAACAAGCAGAAAATTTGAAAAACATGCCCTTTAGATTTGCTTAAAATACATTTCAGAACGATTTCTTGCAGTCATTTCGGAACGTTAGACGTTATCTGACGTAAAATTATCTGACGTTAAATTATCCCACGAAAGCCCAGATTTTCCGAGGAGATATTTCACCTTTTACCTATTTTACTTAAACGTTCACTCATTTTTTACCTATTTGGACCCCCTCCCCTCTCAGGCTCGCTTTTGTTAGTTTTGCTAGATCCCCTCCCCAAAAAACATTCGCTTTTATCTGAACCCCCCCCCCAAAAAAAGAGAATTAAATATGCAGGGTACTAGAAGAAAGAATTGACAACATTTAACAAGGAAGAAACTAGTGATATTTTGGACGTCAAATAGCAATAACACAACATGAAACACAACACAAACGTACACACTTTTCTTTATAAGAAACAAATTAAACTGGACTGGGGAGATGTAGAAAGACTTTTTGAATGGTCCCTAAGCAAAGAGCGTAGATTAATCCAGAGTGTTTACCCGATAGTACCGATAGTAGCCATTTCGTGCCACTATATAGCCACTTATTTTTTTCTCGAAATGTGCTGAATTATCAGTATAACTTTTTGAAATATCTGAAAAGTTGTTTTATGATTTTGTTGTATCAATAAAAATGATCTTTGGCTTTAGGGCTTATAGGTGAAGCTTTCATGATGTTTCCATAATGGAGGGCCACTTTTTTCAGACATCTGAGGAATTGCGGGTCCAAATTTTGCCATAAAGCTCTGTCCCAGTCCAGTAGATACTCCTCCCCTCCTTCGAGGATTGTTTTTGCATATTGAAAAATAAATTTCAGTTTTATAGATAAAAACAAAAAACCAATTTAGATTATAAAGTGTTTAATTATAATAAAGAGTGTAAAAGATTATCAACATCATCACGAACAGTATTATCCTCATCTTCTGATTTCACGATGCGCAAAAACTCGTCTCTTCTGATCTTTACTTTCCCATCATTGGAAATTCTCCTCTTCTGTTCTTCGACGATCTTTTCATTTTGGTAGAACTCCAAATAATTATAAAGAAAATGCATTTGGAGACTTTGAGTGCATGCACTTTGAATTCGCTTGTCTTTCTTGGTCTTATTGCGTGCTTCTTGCACCAAAGTACAAATTGTTGCTGCTTGTTGGCACAAGTTGATATTGTGGAAGGAACATAGCTCTGATTTTTGAGGATTCTTTGCCGAATGGAATCTGTCACCTACAACAAATCTCCTAGAAATGTCCGACACTGGATCTACATACTCTTGTGGAGGATATTCTTCTATTCCTTTTGTTTTTGAAATTGTGACTGGCCGATATTCAAAGGGCACTATAAATGGGAAGCTCTGATCCTGTAAATGAGACATGTATTAAGTAAATGTATTGAGCGAACTTCTTGCCAAACATGCGAAGTCAACTAATGAAATTTGTGTGTTATATTTAAGACTCTACGACATCTGTTCAAGAATGGGCCTTACCAAATATAAAATGTTAAAAATTCTATTTATTGTTTTAAATAACCTCTTAGGGTATCATTATGGTAATGACTTTTTGTGTACCATTCTGAAAATTTGAAGAAAGGCGCATTTGAAACTTTTTGAATTTTTAAGCATTGCTGACCAAACGGAAACTGTGTTATCACAAATCTAAATTTTTTCTTGCTGACCAAACAGAAACTGGGGCAGAGCCGATTGTGGGTTCTTCGAAGCATCCATCAAACTTCTACCATAATTTTTCTGTCAGCTGGGGCTCCCTCAAAATAAGATTTCTTACCAATGTGCAGGCAGTATCACAAACAAATGTAATTGGGGAATATTTCAAGGACAAATATATATCTGCAGCATCTTGTACCGATTCAGTGAGGGTGATAAACTTTGAGGCAACTGTACACTACCATGAAGAAATTGGAACATGACATTTACATACACGACTTATTTAAAAAAGGACAACAAATTAATTATCCACAGTTTCTCCTAATTTTTTTAGATTTTTCCTGACTATTAAGTTCTGTAAAATTATGCTAGATTATGCTGCACTGTCAGAAGTAAGGGGTTTTTCAACCAGAAATGTGACCACGACACTAAATCTATATTATGGAAATTACAAAAACAAATAGTAGGGATAGATAACGTATTAAAATAGATTCTGATGATGTTTTTCAATCCAGAAACTTAGAGTTTTAAAAGACAAACCCCGTGTCTGCAAACAACATGATAAAATCCTCCAGTGCGTCCTTCTGCTTTTGGAAATGCATGACATGGTGAAGTTCCAACAATAACTGATGCATATAGTTTCTGAATGGCAGTACAAAGTAGGTCCTGTGTAAAAATTAGAAAGCATCAGAATCAGATGCATTTTCATTTGAATCAAACATGCTCTCTTCCCTACCAATTGGTTGCCATTATTTTAAGAATACTTCAAGGAACCTCACAGTGGCGTAGCCATTGGGAGGGGTGGTTAGGGGAAATGGCCCCCTCCGCACTTCATTGAGCAGCTCTGATATATAGTAAAACTGTCCGAAATCATAAAGGATTTCATGTTATTAATAGGAAGCATGACACTGTTAGATGGAATCCAAGTGAAAGTAAAGAGTGTGGCCCCAAAAATTTTCCTGGGCTACGCCCAAAGTAACACCCTTTTTCGGAAATGCGACCCCACTTCTTTAACCCTGGCCACGCCAGTTACAGTATGACCTAGTTTGTGGTTGTTGGGCAATAGCATTGTATTGTTACAAGTTTATGGTTACTAGCTATGAAAAGTTTTTGACTTAAACTGAGCAAAGGAGAACAAGCAAAAAATACACTGAAGTAAATGAAGTAAGGAACAAACCTCTACCAACAAAAATGCAGTACCAACAGTATCTATGATGAAAATCAGTTCAGTCTTATCATATGTAATATATAATGAACACATTAACAGTAACAGTGACAATAACATATTTTCTCTACATTTGCTAATCCAATGTTATATTTTCAAACATATAACTCAATCAAATATTATAGTACTATATAAATTAGTTTCAGTCATAGATAATAAAATCATAACCATATGATGACCATATATTGAGGGCCAGTTTTCAATATCTTGTGCTACATGATATATAAATCATTTCTTGTAGAAACATGCTTATAGTATGCATTATAATCTAATGAAGTAATTTCAGATCAAGTTGACCTTCAATTCTAGCATATATAGTTCTAATATCATATTACTATACAAAGCAGTTTATGTCATAAAACCCCCGGTGAAAAATCTTGCAAGATCCTGTATAGGATCCTCGCAGGATCCCTGCAGGATATTGGTAAAGGATCCTACAGGATCTTGTACAAGATTCTGTACAAGATCTTATAGGATCTTATAGGATCTTAATAAGATCTTACAGGATCCTGATAAGAATAAAAGCAATCCTTATAAGATCTTAATAGGATCCTTTGTATTTCTTGAATCTTGGTGGAATAGGATCCTGTATAGGATCCTCGTAGGATATTGGTAGAGGAATCCTACAGGATCTTGTACAAGATTCTGTGCAAGATCCTTTAGGATCTTATAGGATCTTAATAAGATCTTACAGGATCCTGATAAGAATAAAAGCAATCCTTATAAGATCTTAATAGGATCCTTTGTATTTCTTGAATCTTGGTGGAATAGGATCCTGTATAGGATCCTCGTAGGATATTGGTAGAGGAATCCTACAGGATCTTGTACAAGATTCTGTGCAAGATCCTTTAGGATCTTATAGGATCTTAATAAGATCTTACAGGAACCTGATAAGAATAAAAGCAATCCTTATAAGATCTTAATAGGATCCTTTGTATTTCTTGAATCTTGGTGGAATAGGATCCTGTATAGGATCCTCGTAGGATATTGGTAGAGGAATCCTACAGGATCTTGTACAAGATTCTGTGCAAGATCCTTTAGGAACTTAATACGATCTTAATAAGATCGTACAGGATCCTGGTAAGAATAAAAGCAATCCTTATAAGAACTTAATAGGATCCTCTGTATTTCTTGAATCTTGGTGGAATAGGATCCTGTATAGGATCTTTACAGGGTCCTGAATAGGATCTCTTCAGGATCCTGCAGGACATGATTTGGCTCTTATATAGGATCTGTTGAGAATCCTGCATAGGATCTGTATAGGTTTCTGTATAGGATCTATCCAGGATCCGATATATAATTTGTTTAGGATCCTGCATATGACCAAATCAGGATCCTGTATGTTACCAGTTCAGGATCCTGATGAAAGATCTTGTAGAACCTTTTACCATATGATAGTTCATGAAGTAGATATTTTCAGAAGTAGATCTTTAGAGAGCAGAATTTAATATGTTTCAATCGATTCAAATTTAATTTCCAAGTCAATATCTTTTTATTACTACATAATTTTTTAGTTTGTAAAAAAATTTCTGTTTAATAACCTTGTTGATGCTCTCCTTCTGAAACTTGAAGGGCCCTAAAGGATCATCACTAGATCTTCTATGCTCCTAAATAGAGTTTGAAAGTGGGATACCGCAAAAAATATTTTTCTAGAAGTAGACTTTAGAAAGCAGACATTTTTTATCAATATACATTTAATTGTCAAGTCAAAATCCTATTGAATCAATACCTAAATCAACAAGGTTTTACGCTTAATTTTTAGCTTGTCAAGGCATTTCTGCTTTATCGCTTTGTTGATGCTCTCTCTCCACTTTGCTGTTTTCTTTTCTCCATAAACTGCATTTACAGCATCTAGAATAACAAAAGGTTTATAATTTTGAGAAAAATGAAGATTCCATAACAAAAATAAATTCAAAGATTCCAAAATAAGCCTTACACAAAAAACCTTAATAACTATTATTGGGCTTTGTCCGAAATTGATAATGAGATTCCCTCCATTTTCTATATGTAATTCTCTTTTCCCCATGCAGGGGACACCATGCTAAATTTTAGGTGGGGGCCGGGTGCAAAGAGGCTAGACATATTTTTACGAAAATGGTACACCCTAGCTCACGGCACATTTCCAGATACCTTTGATATAGATGAACACCCCCCTGAACACCCCACATTTACGTTTGCTTTTTTCATGAAATTAAGTTTGCTTTTTCGAAAAGAATATTATACAGCAAAAGCAAATTTGGTGGTTTTTGCTGATTTTTTCTAAGTGCATTTTAGTAGCTGTGATGAAAAAACTTTAGAACAAGACTGAAAGTGACAAAAGCGGTGTAAAAAAAGTTGACAAGACACATACATATTCCCATATTCATGGAACTGAGGATGACAGGGGGACTTGGAGAAAAATTTTAAAAAATTAAACTGGTTCAAATTTAAGCTCACCAAAGAGAATGGATATTCTTTCAGGATCTAGAGTGCCCTTTCCGCTTTTTGGTGATGGATCTAGTGTCATTGTTTCCATTTCTTCGTTTTTGAACAAAACTGACAACTTCTGTGTTGCAAATAGATTCGGCTTTGAGGGGCAGTGCCCAGATGTGAGATCTATGCCCTTGAAAATCTTTAAAAAAGATGGAATTGAAAAACATATCATAAACTGAAAACCATTTACATGGCGTGGCAAAAAAGGTTTCCCTTAAATGCCAACACTCAAAAGGCCTTTTATGAAGTGAAAGTATTATAAAAATACCGAAACAGTAAACTGGAAGATAGAAGACTTTGCCAATTATTCCAATTATTTACTGGAAGATAGGAGACTCAGAATACCCTAATTAATCCTCAAACAATCTCAGCAAATTCCCTGCTTTCATAAATCTGTTGTTAAAGGCTACACTCTTCACAGTATTTCATCAATGTTTATGCTTTTTCATGACACCATACTTTTCTAAGTATATACATACATACCACTGGGGAACAGTTTTTTGGCGAGTTTTCCCCTAGAGATGGTTCCTAGGAAAAGCAAGATATTTATTGATCAAATCAGATCAATGATCATGGATTCGATATTCAATTGCATATGTCCATTGAAATGTGGTTAATTCAGCTTACTTATATTTCCTGTGTTGATATACCGACTTTGCATCGTCTATGTCACTAGCTTGGGTCACAACAGAGTGATGGAAATGTGACATTTACTCCTCACAAAAAACGCTCGCGTGGTTGGGCGATCGTTTACCAAACGAAAAGGCCTGTCAAAATTATTAAAGATAAAGTAACACATGCACCTATTGGTTGTGCAAAGATATGCAGCATTCATCAACATAGAAACCAGGGGCACAGGGGGCTTTTGCCCCTACGTTTCATAAACAGAGGTTAAGTGCCTATCTGCAAATCATGGAATTACCCCTTTTCTGTCTATATGCCCACACTTTAAAATGCTTGGTACCTGCATGGCTGCATAAGATACTGAATTCATTCAGTGGGTAAACAAACAGTAATGGTAACAAACCTCCTTTCTTAATGGGGTCCTCACTGCAACCTCTTCTGGCTTTTGTTTTACTAAATCCATTAAAATTGATATTTTTTCATTCATGTTACTCATTTGTATTTTTAATTTGTTGATTTCTGTCTCATGGTTGCAAGAAGTCCGAAAAATAATTAATTAATCAAACTATCAGTAAAACCAAGTATATCTAAAATTTTAAAGTGCACCGGGATGAAACTTAGGTATACATACATGTTTGTTTTTCTCCATTGATGCTAATTTTCTCTTCTTCAACAGAGTTTCCACTCTTTTTTGTTCTGCTTCAATCTCTTTGTCTGAAAAGAGGGGTTAATGCAGTATCATGATCAGTTGATTTAAAGTCACATTTACAAAGCCTAGATTACAATATGATCCACCCAGTAGTGTAGTTCCAAAAAATATAGAGGGTGGGGCCATAGAGCTTTCTCTATATTGTATACAAAATTAATATTTCAATTGTTTTCGTTTGCGTGGCTCCTCTATATCGATTTCTCTACCTTTCCATTTTTTTAGGGTTAAATCATTTTCCAATGTCTAACTGTTACTCGAGAAAAACAATCTTAAAAACAAAGAATTTATAGCATTTATTGACTTTTCAGTTATCATGTAGGCTATCAGGGTCACAAATGAATGCAGGTGTCAAAAAGTAATATCAGTTCAATCAAAGATTTGATCCTGGTAGAAATTAGCCATGATGCCTTAGAATTACTCATAGAAAAGAGGAGGGGCGGAGCACCCTTCGAAAAGCAGAAGGGGGCTGAGCCCTCCCTGAGCCCCCTCTCCTACAGCCCTGGGTTTACCATTTGTATACAGCCTAAAAATGCAACCCATGCAGGGGCAGATCCAGCAAAAAGCCTGACTGAGTTCCAGAGCCAGGCCAAAGTTGTGGTCAATTATAAAAAAATTTGGATGTACCTTCAGGAAGCATAGTTAAATCATCATCCTCAAACTCAGTTTCACTGTCTTCAAGAACTTTGCCATCATCATCATCATCATTTACACCTTCCTTGTTTGTTTCTTGCAAGTCGCTGTTTTCAAGGACATCAAGAGCCTTTTCCAACCTTTTTAGTTCTTGAAGACATTCTTCTTCAGTGCCTGATCAAAGAAAATTTGACATAAAAACATTTATAAATCCAAATAATTTCAAACTTTAGGTCAATCTGAAGTACCAAAGTAAAGTAACAACAGGTTCAACTTGATATGAGAGAATTTAGATCAACAAAATATATATGCTACTTGTATACAACTTTTATCCTGCGGGTTGGCAAGATAAAATTAGAATGGCTGCACTGTGTTTTCATTTAAAAAGCGTTAAAGCTGTGTTGGTATAACTTTTCACGCATAAATGTTTAAATCTAGAATATTAGAGTATTGTAAAATGTCTATACTATCTTACCGATCCGAAATATTTTTGCACAATAGCCTGAAGCTTTTACCAGTTCTCCCTTCTGGGGTTTTGGCGAATTTGCCTTGGCCTTTGCGGAACGTTCGATATGTCGCTCATGCACCACATCGTATTTAAAATCCTCGATGAATAATACGCAAACATAAGTACCCAAAAAATCTGAAAATGAGAAAGGGTCATTACTAGAGATGAGGAGAAGAAAGTTCAATTATTAAGTTTGATAAAACAACATCAAACAACATCTGTGGTAAAAAAGATTTCCACTTTTTCATCAAACAAATAAAGATAATAAAATTAGCATATTGTCTACGGCATTTTCATGAAAGACCTTTTGACTCTTTTAATCAAAGCACAAATGAAGGTTCTCAGTGAGGCATTTGTCCATTTCTTCGCGACCGAATGTTTGACAGAAACACGTGACAAAATGAATTCAACGTTGTTTCTAGTAATGGGACATCGTCTATGTCATTTTGTGAAAATATAGCTTTTTGCATCACTTTTCAATAGTCGGCATTTGGAACAAGACCAATTTTCAACATTGGGTGCAAGATTTGCGCCAACCTTAAGACAATGTCTTGTTTAACATGAAATTGCGAAATCTAATGAGGCGCCAAAGCCGAAGTTGCTTGTGGGTGTTATTTTTCTTTCAAAAAAGTAGCGCTTGGTATTGAAGAAAGCTTTAAAGAAACTTTTAATACCGAAGTCAACAAAAAGCACATACTACGTTTATCAGCTCTATGTTACGTAGAAACCATTCCTAGTTAAGGTTTGAAATGGTTAAATTTCCCTGCAAGGCCAAAAATGATCAACCTTGTTTGAAGAATGATCAATATTTTCGTTTTAGATTAGGACATTGAAATTGATACCAAAAATAGCAAACATCATGGTTTGAAACTTTCAAGGGCTACTTCAAGGATCACATAGGATCCTCTCAGTTGAGTATCCAAGTCCTCTATCTAATAAAACGAAATGCAAGGAAACCGTGCACGCACTTTTCTTGCGGTTACATATTTAACCAGCTCCTTGCATTTCCTGATCAAACTCTAAGTCAGGAATACTATATTTCCCTTACTCAGTACAAAAGAAGAACCTTTCCTTACCAGCTGGATTCATTCTTCTCAATTCTTTTGCCTGCAACCTTGTGCTTTTTTAAAACTGTGCCTGATTGTTGAACATTTTCCGTCTGTTTATTGTGTCTGTCTTTCACCCAGTCTTTCCATTCTCCTCTTAGGCTGCGTTCACATTGCACAAGCATTTACTGGCGCCAACTTTTGCGTCGCGATTTCTGCAATACTAACCCCTTGCTGTGTTCACACTGGCCAATTTCTGGCAAACGGAAATTGGCAAGTAAATGCTGTAGTTCTGGTAAATGCTAAACGATAGCTGACAGATTTTTTAAACGCGCGATGGAAGGGATCCAAAAAATCCAAAACATTGTAATCACCTAGCAAAAGACAATGAAAGAAGGGAGAGAGAGGAAAGTGACCCAGACCGATTATTTTTGTTAAGTTTATTGCCACTCATTAGAAAAGTTCCAGAGAGGGAAAAGATATCTTAATCTCCGATGCATATTCATATGGGGGTTCTCTGCAAGTCCTAGACGATACATTTCGGAAAGGGTTATAAAAATCGAATGAAATGTTGATCGTATGCACGCATTAAAAAGCTGCCAATGTGAATGGAAAATCTTTCGCAAAGATGGGTTGCCACCTACTGCGCAATGACGCAAGTAAATGCTTGTGCAATGTGAACGCAGCCTTAAAGCTCGTCACTATTGTCCAACCGTCCAAATAAGACACACTTACATTTGCGAAGTGTCCTCTGATTGGTTGGTTAAAAAAAGCGCGCGAGAATGCAGTTCCTCCGAGAAGGCTATCACGGGGAAAAAATACGTACTGCCTCTAATTCTTTTACCCCCGTACCAGAGCACCGATTACGCGATCACACCTTGGATGTGAATTTGGGATAAGAATATTTAAGCTGAAGATGTTTCAAAGAAAGAATTAGGCTAGGAAAGATGGATGAAAACGATTCAATTTCTTTAGAAATTAGCGTTAGTTCTCCAGCTGCCCCCATAGTTCCGAGCAATTTCTTCAGTTCAGAGAAAGCAGCATCCTCCTTTTCAAGCTTGACTGTTTCAGAAAATGACGAAGCGGTTTTGTCGTCAAAGTCCTCTGATATTCTGGACTACCCGAAGAGACTCAGAATGCAAGCGGGTGCACCGGATTCACAAAATTTGCCTTCACACCAGAGAGTTGCTGAATGGATGAGATGTTCTTTCAGATTTAGTGGCAATGAGGAAGAAGAAGAAGAAGAAGAAGAAGAAGAAGAAGAGGAAGAGGAAGAAGAAGAAGAAGAAGAAGAAGAAGAAGAAGAAGAAGAAGAAGAAGAAGAAGAAGAAGAAGAAGAAGAAGAAGAAGAAGAAGAAGAAGAAGAAGAAGAAGAAGAAATTACTGAGTTCCCTTTTTCAGAATTCAGCAATGCAAGGGACGTTCAAATTGACCAAGACCCCAGTGAACAGAATATTGGAACTGCTGTCGAGCACGAGGCAGACGATACCTCAGTGGAACAAGGTAACATTTGTATTTACACACAACCAGTATCGTGTTTTTATAAGCTGTATGCCAAATTTTTGTCCTATATGATAAATATGCGGGCTAACGTCATAGCTTTGATCTTAGAAACAATGTCTTTCAATCCTTTGTTCTCGTATGCTTTTTTAACAAGTTAATCGTCCGCCAATGAAATTTATCCTGAATAGGACAAATAAGAATGGCTTTGTACGCTTTTTAATAAAATACTTGAACTTAAGCTGTCAACCCTCAACCCCACAAAATGCATTCTGCAGCCGAAGACCTTTTAAGGAATTTTTTGGATCAATAGTAGGCTACCATTACAGGGGTGTAGCCACATCACCATGGAAATTCTAATTACCACGAGACCCAGGCCACAAATTTGAAAGTGGAGGGGCCAAGGCTTCTTTCCTCTTTTAGTGCAGCTTAAAAACTAAATGCTTTGCAAAAAAGTGGGGGGCATGGCGACCTTGTCTAGCGACTGTTGTCTGTTGCTGCACAAGCAGCTTTTCCCTTGAAACTATCTAACAAATTTTTATGTTTTGTAGATGATGCTACAAATGTCAGTGACAGGACAGAGGAGGAATCCAACATTGGAAGTGACTTACTAGAGAGTGAGGATACAGTTTTTGAAGAAAGAACAACTCCTATTTTTGATGGTTCTGAAATCTCCGGGGAAACATTCCAATACATGTTTGTTGCGATGGCAGAGAAACACAACTTCAGCAAGAAGGCGCAGACAGATTTCCTACTTTTCCTGAACACAATTTTACACCAAAATGTGGGCATTCCAGACAGCAGTGCTGCCATCTCCAAAAGCATGCGACACCTCCAGTACCAAAAAACCGAATATTCGAAATGCAAAGTCTGCCATCAAGAATTGCATGGAAATACACCTTGTCAAGTTGAAACTTGTGAAAATTACAACAAAAGAATGGAGCCGTTCAAATACGTTATCATAGATCTGTTACCACAAATTCAAAGAATTATATTTGGTAAGTAAAGTACCTAATAAAAGTTACTTGATAGATGCCATTTAGATATACCGTAAGTCCTCGAATAAGCTAGCCTGTGTCCCAGACCCCTTATGGTCTCATCTGTAGACTCAAATGATCAGTCATGAATCGATGTAAAATTTTATTCCTGGTATTTTTTTGGCTGCTGCCGAATAAACCCCCATCCTAAAGTAATTATTAAGCTTTTAGGTTTTTTATTCGAAGATTTACGGTACTGCAAACCGATTTAATGGAGAGGTCAGATTTTGATCAATTGTACTCAACAGGGTGTTCTCATTTGATTTGATGGTGATAGTGCTCTTTTAATTTTAGGGGGTTGCAGAAATTGCAAGATCCTACTTCTTGGGTTGCTTAAGCATTGACAAAGTTAATGATCGAAAGAAAATTTAATTTTCAAAATTCCTTTTAGACAACTGGCCTTCCATAGAAGAAAACATTTCATCATACCAATACCAAGGTCATTTCAGTGATGTTAGTGATGGATTAATCTATCGAGATGAGGTTCCAAGAAATCCAGATATAAATGGAACATATACCTTTTCACTGACTTGGCACATCGATGGATCAACCGCAGTCAAATCTAGAAATCTGAAAATCTGGCCCATTTTCGCAATGATAATTGAATTACCAAAGCATTTGCGATATTCATTTCGTAACATTCTTTTCTGTGGCCTTTGGTATGGCAAGGAGAAACCTAACTTTACAATGTTCCAGACGCATTTTGTTACAGAAGTGCTCAATCTTACGAATGGATTTGACTTGAAGGTACCAAATAGGCGCCTGTCATGTAAACTGCGCATCCAGGGGCAAGTTGCAGATCTTCCTGCAAAAGCTGCTTCTCTAAACATGAAGCAGTATAATGGCAAGTTTGGATGCTCGATTTGTTTAGAACCAGGTGAAAAGGATGGGGATAATCCACTTTTAAGGTATTACCCCTACAAATCAACGAAGGCACCTCTACGGAATCATGAAGATACCATGCAACATGCTGATCTCGCAAATAGCAAGAGCTCTATTTTTGGTGTAAAAGGATCATCACCAGTACATGAAATTTTAAAAATTCCTGAAAAAGTTCTTTTGGAATTCATGCATCAAGTTTTAGAAGGTGAATTGTATAGAAGGTTAAAGAGTTTTTTTTTCTTATCAAGTAATGAAGCTCCTTTTTCCTTGAAAGAATGCATACATGCAATTGATACTTCAATCACTGCAGTAAAACTACCCCATGACTTCCCAAAGAAAATGAGAACTATTAGTGAATTAGCAAAATGGAAGGCCCACGAAAAAGGAATGTTTCTTTTTCACATGAGTTTGCCTTGTTTGCGGAGGTATCTGCCAGCCGAACATTTTTTCCACCATAGCTTATTTGTGACTGGTCTGCGCATTCTAACCGACGATTCCCTTGTCGAAGAAGATATAACATTAGCAGAGTTAATGCTTGATTCCTATGTTCGACTTGTTGAAGAATTGTATGGGAAGAAAGAAAGAACATATAATTTACATTCAATCAGTCACTTTGCTCAGCAAACAAGAAATCATGGAAACCCAATCCTACAATCTGCCTTCGTATTCGAAGGCATGATCTCTTTGTTAAAAAAGAAGTTCCATGGTACAAGAGGCATAATTTCTCAAATGATTCGTAATATGGCTACATCTCAGACATATCAATCTGAAATTTTGCGGAATGTTACGTACCCACCACAAGCAAAAAATTTCTGCAAAAATGTTTTGCAGTTAAATGAGAAAAAAGTAATGATGTCCGAAACCATCTATTTTTATAAGCCCCTACAAAAGACGGTTCCTCTGGTTCAAAATCTTGATTTGGATACTCTCAATTTAATTGGTGATAATGAAGAAGTAGTATTCTCTTCAAGGATTACTAAAGAAGGCGAGATATTTCACAGTGAAAGCTATTCATACCGCAGATCATCTTGTAGTTTTTTTGTATCATTTTTTTTACACAAGAAGAAAGAACAATTAACTATGGGAAAATACAGTGCTTCTTAAAAAATTCAAGAGGACTCTTTGCAATCATTAAAGTTGCCAAGAATTTGCAAAAAAATATTTGCCAAACAGACGAGCTTCCAAACCCAGAAGATCCAGTCATGCGTCAATTTCATGCCGAGGGTGTGCTAGGAAGTCATTTTGTCGCAATAGGAGACTGTGAAATTTTCAAAATAATTTCATGTGACAACATTTTGTCACGTGTTGTGTTCTTTCCAATGGAAGATGCAGACCCTAAAGTTAAAGGATTTGTTTCCACAGTTTTGAAGACATATCAGCACAATTAAAATATTTTCTTTACTTTCAGTAACTCAAAGATTATTGAATAAGATGTCTCTTTTTTCTGCAAAGCATTCTAACACAATCATATTTAAGATCCTGACAGGGTTCCCTGTCACAATCCAATAGGATTTTGGAATCCTTATGTGTAAGATCCTATTCCAGTTCTTGTAAGATCTACATTGACAGTCGGGATCCTGGCAAGATCCTATTCAAGATCCTGTTTTAGAATCCTGTAAGGTTTTTGGTAGGATCCTGTGTCAGATCTTAAATTGTGTTTATCCTATAGGATCCTTACGCTGGATCTTGTATAAGATCCTATACACTTAAGATTCAAGATGCTGGTAGGATCCTGGTCAAAATGTAACAGGATCCTGTTTAAGAATCTATAGGATCCTATCGCCATGTTCAAGATCCTGACAGGATCCATGTCACAATCCAATTGGAACTTGGAATCATTATGTGTAAGATCCTAATCTAGTTCTTGTAAGATCCTGCAATGTCAGTCTGGATCCTAGCAAAATTCTATTCAAGATCCTGTTTTAGAATCCTGTAATGTTTATGATAGGATCCTTTGTCAGATCTTAAGCTGTGTTTATCCTATAGGATCCTTACGCTGGATCTTGTATAAGATCCTATACACTTAAGATTCAAGATGCTGGTAGGATCCTGGTCAAAATGTAACAGGATCCTGTTTAAGAATCTATAGGATCCTATCGCCATGTTCAAGATCCTGACAGGATCCATGTCACAATCCAATTGGATCTTGGAATCATTATGTGTAAGATCCTAATCTAGTTCTTGTAAGATCCTGCAATGTCAGTCTGGATCCTAGCAAGATCCTATTCAAGATCCTGTTTTAGAATCCTGTCAGGTTTTTAGTAGGATCCTGTGTCAGATCTTAAATTGTGTTTATCCTACAGGATCCTTACATAGGATCCTATATAGGATCATATGCACTCAGGATCTTGCAGGATTTTTGGTAGGATCTTGTCCAGGATCCTAAAAATCTAGGATCCTTATAGGATCCTTCAGGATCCTGCAAGATTTTTCACTGGGGACAGTACTAAAACAAAGATATCTGGACCATATTTTGAGGGCTAGTTCCCAACTTCAATATCTTGTGCTAAATGGTATATGTATATTTATTTCTGTATGAACATGCAGATAAAATGGCAATACAATTGAATAAAGCAAGGTCAGATTAGTGAAATACAGTCATTCATATATATCATTCATAGTCAAATCAAGCATGTATAAAAAAAGCATTAGAATTTTGGTGTAAAAAGTTTAAAATGATAGACCCGCTCTTTCCATTACATTTTTCATTAACAAAAAGAAGAATCTTAAAAAAATTGGGTATTTAAATGTTTCAATTTCAATAGGGTTGTAATAAAAAGTTTGTTTGGAAACATATCCATTATAATATTGAAATGTAACAGAAAATGGTAGGTTCACTTATAAGAAAAAACATTAAAAAGTGTTAAATGTAGACTTACGGACAATATAATTTAAAATATCTCAATAAAAGGCAACAGGATTCAATCCAATAATTACCAACTGTTTGAAAGAAAACAAAAAGATATTTAAGATAAGATATAAATGACATAAATGGAAAATTGGTCTACATGAATAAACATGTTTGAGTCATCATGATGTTATTCATTACCAAATTGCAAAAATTGTATTATCTGGTAAAATGGTTTGTGTATCTGGTAAAAGAGAGGGGCGGTGCGGGTGAATGACTCAGCCTTGGGTGTTGGCTTGAAATCACGACCCGATAGCTCAGCGGTAGAGCACTTGACGTACAAAGTCAGGGATCGTGAGTTCGTGCCTCGCTCGGGTCCGTTGTTTTCCCGCACTCTCTATTAAAAATTGTATTACAAAAACTGCATACATTAATATGCATCAAAGATTTTATTTCCAAAAATGGAGAACAAAACAAAACGACCAGACCATACGTTGAAGGGTTATCTATATATGAAAATGTTTGATTTTTTATTTAATTTGAACATCTAACAGGGCATAAGCAAATGTTGATTAATGTAAAACAGTTTGAAATTTTTCAGTTTGAAAAAAATTATGTTCCATATGCAAAAAACATGGCAACAGAAAAGATCTATTTCAAAACCCTTCTTTGGAATGGTACAGTAATGCTATATACAATTTTGATATTAAACTATGATTGCATTAAGTAAGTCCATTTGTTGCAATTACCACTATGTTATGTAATTCATATATACTTCTGTATGAAGTGATATTCAATAGATAGGGGGAAATCATATCAAAATATTATATTCCGTATAATTTGTAATTTGTAAACTCACCAACTGTTTATTGTAAATGAACCAAAGAATAAACTGGAACAAGTTCAATATAAAATAACAACTAGAAAGAAAACAATATACATTATAATATGGGCAAATGGGTATCAATAGTTAAAAAAAACATTCAATTCATCAATGTCTCATCCAGGTAACATTAGAATTGCAGAAAAAATAATATAAAAATAATTTTGGTCATGTATAATCAACAATCATAGCCCCAATGTTTTATATTTATAAAACATTTTAAACTTAAAACAATTTGAAATTCAGGTTCAGCATGTTGAAATCAGCATATGTATTACTGCACTAAGAGTGTTGTATAAAGGAATTATAAGGTGCTCAGTCTAAAAAAACATCAATAATACTCACCAAATATAAGAACAGTTTAAGCAAAACAAACAAGACAAGAAATATTAAGCCAAGTGGAACACATCTGCAAATACAATATGGAAATACTAGAATAATATGAATAAATTGCCTTAAAATGATAAAACAACAACAATGTATATTTAGCATTGTATAAAAATTGCAAATTGTGTACACCTTATGTGGAGGGGCAATATAGTATAACTTGTAATAATAAATTATGAATAAATTCTTAATGGTCCAATAATTATTATACTCATTCCAATACAACATAAAAGGATAAAATTTTCTTCTGCCTATGTACCTTATGGGGAAAAGGGTTACATAATAAGGTGGAAGGGGGTTACATATGGGGAAAGGGGCTGCATCTGTGTTAAGTCAAATTGCACATTACATTCAGTACAAGTAATTTCAAATGTTCATTCAAATGATCAGAAAATTTAGCATATTGAAAATACTAAGCAGGGAAAGGTCTGCAATTTATAATTTTTTACGCAAAACTAACTAGATATGAAATTTTAGTTAATGAACCGTAATTGATTTGGGAATTGCTTGATAATTTTTAGAAATGACTTCATAAACCCAATGAGTTTCAATCAAGTGAAAGATAATATTAACTCTCTTATTAAAGTAAATTGCAAACAAATTGCAAACAAAGTAAAGTCCAGCCTAAAATTAACTCAAGCAGTACATCCAGTTACGACTGACGTACATTCTAGCCTGACTAAGAAGGATATTAACAAAATGAACAATTTGATCTCTTTTCATGCAAAATAGTACACAGGATTGCGAACATACCTTCTCTTTCTCCCCACAACTTTCTCCGTTTTCAACCACCTGGAAGGTAAGGGAAAATTTATACCAAAAGACTATAAAAAATATTTTAAAAATATATAATTATTTCTGAGACGTAGAGAGTAACTGTTGGTTAGGTCAAACTATTGTCGTCAAACTGACTGAATATCAAAAAGTCAGAAAAGGATGCTTAAAATCACTGTTTTATTATTCATGCTAGGCAATTAAGAAAAGTGAAATAAAAATCATAGCAAAATGGCGCTTGACTGTGCCAATCTGTTGCTGGTATGGTGGGTTCTATATTACGCTAAATGAAGATATTAAAATGTGCAATTCTAATCTGTCTTAAACAAAATTCAAACCCAAATATCAATTTAGAATAATCAGTTTTGATATACTATAAACTGATTGCATTAAAGTGAAATGTCAAAGCAATGGGGTGGAAAAAGTGAATTTAAGCAAAGTTAAGCAGTTGTGAGATTCACACTAGCATTGCTAATGTGAATCCTTGAAATTCCTTAAAATTTAAAACTATGACATCACTATCATATCAAAGCCCACCCAATCTAAAAAATTCCAATTGCAAAATCTTTGCAAATGAGCCATTGCCCTGCGAAAAAACAATTGCTCAACCATGGCTGACAATGGTGACACCATGGTTACACCATGGTTTTCAACCATTTCCCACCATGGTTGAGCAACGAAATGACCATGGTTAACCATGGTAGAACCACGAATTTCCAATGGGACCCATTGCTGAACCATGTCTAAAATTTCAAAATGTTTACTTTTTCATAAATTTGCTTGAGCAATATTGAAAGCTGAAATGTTCAGGATTATTTTAAACAATTTTGAAATTTTCAGTTCTTTTTATGATTTCAGTTTAAACCATGGTCAGACCATAGCCAATACATGGTTATCTGTTCATTGTTGAACCATGGCTTAACCATGCTCAACAAATGTGTTTCAACCATGTTTTTCCATGGTTAGACCATGTCATCTAATCATTTTACCAATTTAGGTCAAATCAGGGTTCAACCATATAAACATTTGAATTTTTGAAAATACAAATTTGAATTTTTACAGGAATTGCATAATGCTTGTAAACTTGGTTTGAAACATGGTTCAAACATGGTTCAACCATGTCACTTGACCATGATCGAACCATGATTCAACCATGTTTCTTGGCCATGATCAAACCATGATTCAACCATGTCTCTTGACCATGATCAAACCATGGTTCAAACATATCAACCAACCATGATCAAGCCATGGTTCACTTTTGCTTTTTTTCTTCTTTAAGATTCCTCTTGCTTCTGCACTTCATGAACTCCTGCTGTAAGCACTCTCAAAGAGAATCTCTCTTTGAGCTCATCAAGGTTCTTACAAAGTAAATTTTAATGCAAAGCTTTGCTTTTCACAAGAAAGCTCACTTTGCTTGATATCATATTTTTATTTGTTGCTGATTAGAGCACTTCAAGGTTCCTGATCAATTTTTAAAAAAGGCATCTTATCTAGGATGAAAAGTGTGCGTAAAGTTTGGCAAAGCTCAGGCTTAACATGCAGTTCTTGAACTTGTTTTCATGAGACTGTATGCAAATACTAGCCTCTCACAATCTGTAGAATGGGGCTTCCAGGCAGGGCCGGTTCCATGGGGGTGTGTGGGGGGGATTCCAAATTGGGATTTTAGTCAGTAAAATTGGGATTTTGATGGGTAGATAAACTTTTTTGTAGAAAATTGTACTTCATGTAATTTTTAAAAACATTCAAAGATATTAAAAAGTTCTGGAGTTCAGTTTTTCCCTTGATCCAGAAGAGAATTTTCAGGAACATCACAGAAGAAGATTAATCCCAAGATATTTGACAAAACCAGAGACAATTTTAGTCTGGGAGATGCATTTCTAGCCATCCTAGAAGGCTTAATTTCAAAAAATTTATTTCGCGTCGGACCCAACCATGGCGGGTCCTACTATGTCACTGAACTTTATTCTTAACCCCCCTGGCTCAGTTTTGTGGCCCCATCTCTGAAAGTGAAGCACAATGCACCAGTCGCATTAACGGAGTGTAATAATGCCAAAATGTATTTGGTAGATAAACACTTGCACCCTCCCAAAAAAATTTCCTGAAGCCAGGCCTGCTTCCAGGGCATCATAATCGTGCATTGAAGTGCATAAAGCTCGCAAGTCACTTCCGGATACAATCTTTCATATTGTTTCTGCTTGTGTTCTAATTTTTACAGAGAATTCAAGTATGAACTTGTAAGGGGTTTCACAACAATAATCGTTCCAGGTGAAACTTTACCCCCTTAGCTATCAATCACGGTCAAATTCCTAATGAAAGTTTTCTAATGTCATAATAAAATCAATGTCGTGACCAAAAACATTATGAAAATTCAAGTAAAAGGTCAAAACAGTCTATACAAAGAAAATGTAACATTTGCAGCACCGGTATTGTACTTTCTTTCCACATTCATTTTTGCAGCAGCCTCTTTTGCTAGAACTAATAACAAAGTGCTGAACACCATCAAATCTTTTTGATGGGTTAGGCTGCTGGCCAATCTCTCTCTTTCTGGATTTGAATGATCCTATCAGTCCTTGAAAAAGTTCGACGCGGAACTCCTTTTGCCCAATTTTCATGGCATTTGGCTGATTTTTCTGAATAATCCAGGCATTTACCACAGCTTCTTTTAGCATATCAAAAGAAATTGGGAGCCACCACCTGTAGGATTTTCTTGACATACTGTTGTAAGCTATCAGTTGATCATTTGTGTCAACACCTCCCATATTTGACCGGTATGCTGTAATGCAAGGTGGACATTGACGCACAATTTTTTCAGCAGTGCCTCTTTGGGACTTCTTGACAACATCTGTGTCACCTGGTGTGGCCCTACACATACTGCTGATCAGAATCACATCTTTTGTGTCCTTCCATTTGGTGATGACCGTCTGGGGGTCTTTCATCCTCCAAACCATTTCACCAGGTTGAAGCTTTGCCTCTTTGATTTCAACTGGGACCCCAGTTCTATATGAGCGAATTGTTGCTGTAGCATATATGCCCCTTTCATACAACTTGTCGATAAGTGGAATGGAGGAAAAGAAGTTATCAAAAAAAAGCATCCATGGCTGGCCAAGTTGCAAATGTTCTGCCATTTGTAAAACGACATGCTCTCCAAGACCAACCTCTCTTTCCTCCCCTTTACCCGTGTAAATATCAAAAGCATATAGGTATCCAGAAATGGAATCTACAAGCTTCCACATCTTGAAGCCCCATTTATTGGGCTTGTCCTTCATATACTGTTTCAAAGGACTCCTTCCAGTGAAGGAAATCATGCCCTCATCAATACTGTTCTGTTGATGGGGCACCCAACATCTTTGGAATGATTGCTGCAGCAAGTTCATAATAGGCCTCACTTTTTGCAATTTATCATGACTTTCATGACCTTTTGGCAACGCAGCACTGTTATCATTACAATGTAGAAACCTGAATATGTCTCTAAAACGATGGTAACTGAAAACAGTTTTTATTCTTTCTTGCCCCAGCTCTTCAGACCAATAATCTTTGAGCTCTCCAAGAGAACATAGGCCCATAAATATAAGGCACCCGAGAAATGCTTTTAACTCCACAACTGTGACAGGTTCCCATCTATCTTTCGAAGATGGTGAGGTGAAAGGGTGCTCAAGTCTTTGGGCTGCATACCTGTTTGTTTCAGAAACTAACTGTTCCAAAAGTTCTGGCGTGAATAGTAACTCAAAATATTTAACAGCAGCGGCACCTTCTTCGAGTATAACTGTTGGTCCAGACTTTTTTCTAAAAGTCGGGATATGAATCGGACGTTCAATCTCATCCCAAATGGGTCCACTCTCATCAAAATCTTCTAGACGCTCTACAAGGTCTTGCTTTCTTCCTGTGCAGGTTAATCCACGGCTTTTACACAACTCTTTCAACTCTTCTACCTTCAAATTACTATATTGCGCCGCAGTTTCCTCAAAATCTGTAGATTCGTCAACAACAAAGTCAATCACTTCGTCTTCGCTATCGGACGCCATTTTGAAAATAAACTGTCAGAAATTTGGCTACGAGGTTGTTGATAGAATGGCTTCAAAAAGAGGCCTTTTCGGACACCCTGCCCTTACTACTCTGGTTGCAGCGAGACGAGAAAATATGAAAATATTCAAATTTTAGCAAAGATTTCAAACAAAATATCAGTCAATCAAATTCATAAGAAAACCCGTCATTGATTAAATTGTATTTTCTGATGCAGAAATTTATATGCTTTCATTTGACGTAAAGTATATCGCCATGCGATGCATTAATCAAAAGTTCTGATATCATTAATGATAGTCACTTTTCATTCTCAATTTCCCTATGACTACGAAAGGGCCGTACTTGTAATGAACGGGAAGTCTTTCCTTATCAAAAGTTGTACGGCACCGTGTAAACGCGATCTATCCGTATATATCTTTTTATCGGGATCAAACGTTATCCATAATCAAATCGCTCCACAAAAACGTTCTTATTTCGAAATCTTGCATCACTCGCAACAATACTTTCGGTCAGAAAAAGGGTCCCAAGTCTTCTAGATCTGTCCGGGCCTAACATTAAATACGCTTTGTTACCTAGCAGTTCTTTACGATGAAGCTTTCAACATAATCAACAAACTCCCTAACTGCACAAACCTTTTAAAAAATTATCTTGTTTTTGCTGCGTACATGAATCGCAAAGTTGAACGCACTGATAGATGATCGAACTGCAATCCAAACGGCCATCTTGTGTTTGAAAAAGCGCGCTTAAAAATGGCAGTTGCTTGTTGGTTGAGCCATGGTTTAGCGATGGTCAAACCATGATTGCATGCATAAGAAAATTTAAATCCAAAGGAAATAAATGTTTTCTTATTTGAAAGCAAGGAAATATGTCTTCAAAACAAAGCTAATCTTGGAATACCCAACTTAACAGACACCGCGTAGCAGGGGGGGGGCAGGGGGACTGCTAAAAATGTCAAATATTAAGTAATAAACTACCAGGAAAGCCTCTTTTTAAAAGGTTTTAGCCCCCACTTCTTTAAAACGCCCACCGTCTCAAAGCTCCCTGGTGCCTGCTTAATAATGAAACATATAACCATGTAAAAAATTACTTATAGGCAAAACTTTCTTAGTAGGAAAGGAAGAAAATACCAGGATTTTAAACAGTGGAGATTTCTTGTAGGGACATAGGGGGTGGAGCCCATCTTTCTTGTTAGAAATTTTCTTGACTTTGAAGGGGGCAGGGGGCTTGATCTTGCTTTTGAATTTAATTTAAAAATTCTTTGCCACTTTAAGAAAAGTCAATTAAAAAATGGACCATGGTTCAATGATGAGTCATCAATGGGCAGGCCAAATTTTCATAAAACATCTCAAATTCAAAGAAAATAATTGTTCTATGGCTTAAAAACGAGGAAATATGTCCACAAAACAAATATAGTAGAAATCAAACTATTCAATTTAAAAATTCTTTGCCACTTCAAGAAATGTCAATTAAAAAATGGACCATGGTTCAGCAAAGGGTCAGCAATGATCAGGCCAAATTTTCATAAAACATCTCAAATTCAAAGAAAATAATTTTTCTATGGCTTAAAGACAAGGAAATGTGTCCACAAAACAAATATAGTAGAAATCCAACTATTTAATTTAAAAATTCTTTGCCATTTTAAGAAATGTCAATTAAAAAATGGACCATGGTTCAGCAATGGGTCAGCAATGGTCAGGCCAAATTTTCATAAAACATCTCAAATTCAATGAAAATAATTTTTCTATGGCTTAAAAGCAAGGAAATATGTCCACAAAACAAATATAGTAGAAATCAAACTATTTAATTTAAAAATTCTTTGCCACTTTAAGAAATGTCAATTAAAAACTAGACCATGGTTCAGCAATGGGTCAGCAATGGTCAGGCCAAATTTTCATAAAACATCTCAAATTCAAAGAAAATAATTTTTCTATGGCTTAAAGACAAGGAAATGTGTCCACAAAACAAATATAGTAGAAATCCAACTATTTAATTTAAAAATTCTTTGCCATTTTAAGAAATGTCAATTAAAAAATGGACCATGGTTCAGCAATGGGTCAGCAATGGTCAGGCCAAATTTTCATAAAACATCTCAAATTCAATGAAAATAATTTTTCTATGGCTTAAAAACAAGGAAATATGTCCACAAAACAAATATAGTAGAAATCCAACTATTCAATTTAAAAATTCTTTGCCACTTTAAGAAATGTCAATTAAAAAATGGACCATGGTTCAGCAAAGGGTCAGCAATGGTCAGGCCAAATTTTCATAAAACATCTCAAATTCAAAGAAAATAATTTTTCTATGGCTTAAAACAAGGAAATATGTCCACAAAACAAATATAGTAGAAATCAAACTATTTAATTTAAAAATTCTTTGCCACTTTAAGAAATGTCAATTAAAAAATGGACCATGGTTCAGCAATGGGTCAGAAATGGTCAGGCCAAATTTTCATAAAACATCTCAAATTCAAAGAAAATAATTGTTCTATGGCTTAAAAACAAGGAAATATGTCCACAAAACAAATATAGTAGAAATCCAACTATTCAATTTAAAAATTCTTTGCCACTTTAAGAAATGTCAATTAAAAAATGGACCATGGTTCAGCAATGGGTCAGAAATGGTCAGGCCAAATTTTCATAAAACATCTCAAATTCAAAGAAAATAATTGTTCTATGGCTTAAGAACAAGGAAATATGTCCACAAAACAAATATAGTAGAAATCCAACTATTCAATTTAAAAATTCTTTGCCACTTTAAGAAATGTCAATTAAAAAATGGACCATGGTTCAGCAAAGGGTCAGCAATGGTCAGGCCAAATTTTCATAAAACATCTCAAATTCAATGAAAATAATTTTTCTATGGCTTAAAACAAGGAAATATGTCCAGAAAACAAATATAGTAGAAATCAAACTATTCAATTTAAAAATTCTTTGCCACTTTAAGAAATGTCAATTAAAAAATGGACCATGGTTCAGCAAAGGGTCAGCAATGGTCAGGCCAAATTTTCATAAAACATCGCAAATTGAAAGAAAATAATTTTTCTATGGCTTAAAACAAGGAAATATGTCCACAAAACAAATATAGTAGAAATCAAACTATTCAATTTAAAAATTCTTTGCCACTTTAAGAAATGTCAATTAAAAAATGGACCATGGTTCAGCAAAGGGTCAGCAATGGTCAGGCCAAATTTTCATAAAACATCGCAAATTAAAAGAAAATAATTTTTCTATGGCTTAAAAACAAGGAAATATGTCCACAAAACAAATATAGTAGAAATCAAACTGTTCAATTTAAAAATTCTTTGCCACTTTAAGAAATGTCAATTAAAAACTAGACCATGGTTCAGCAATGGGTCAGCAATGGTCAGGCCAAATTTTCATAAAACCTCTCAAATTCAAAGAAAATAATTTTTCTATGGCTTAAAAAAAAAGGAAATATGTCCACAAAACAAATATAGTAGAAATCAACTATTTAATTTAAAAATTCTTTGCCACTTCAAGAAATGTCAATTAAAAAATGGACCATGGTTCAGCAAAGGGTCAGCAATGATCAGGCCAAATTTTCATAAAACATCTCAAATTCAAAGAAAATAATTTTTCTATGGCTTAAAGACAAGGAAATGTGTCCACAAAACAAATATAGTAGAAATCCAACTATTTAATTTAAAAATTCTTTTCCATTTTAAGAAATGTCAATTAAAAAATGGACCATGGTTCAGCAAAGGGTCAGCAATGGTCAGGCCAAATTTTCATAAAACATCGCAAATTAAAAGAAAATAATTTTTCTATGGCTTAAAAACAAGGAAATATGTCCACAAAACAAATATAGTAGAAATCAAACTGTTCAATTTAAAAATTCTTTGCCACTTTAAGAAATGTCAATTAAAAACTAGACCATGGTTCAGCAATGGGTCAGCAATGGTCAGGCCAAATTTTCATAAAACATCTCAAATTCAAAGAAAATAATTTTTCTATGGCTTAAAAACAAGGAAATATGACCACAAAACAA